GCTCATACTTCAGCTGGGGCTCTTCGGCCTCGGGGGGAAACGGTTTCTGCCCAGACTTCAGCGAAACAGTGATTACAGTGAGGGTGGTGAAACACTGGCACAGGTTGCCCAGAGAGGTGGTGGATGCCCCAGCCCTGGAAGCATTCAAGGCCAGGGTGGACAGGGCTCAGAGCAGCCTGCTCTGGTTGAAGATGACCCTGCTCACTGCAGGGGGTTGTACTAGATGACCTTCAGAGGTTCCTCCCCACCATTCTGTGATTCTATGATCTCTGTGTTCTCTGGCCATGGTAGCCTTCAGAGATGCTGCTGTCTACCAGAGGTATCAAACAGCTGAGCTTACATTGTTGCTGCTGTGTTTAATGATGCTGTATCAGGCAGGGTGAGTTTTAAGCTAGTCACATAAAAGCAGGCCCTTCTTGAAAAGTCATCTCTGTCCAATGTAATTGCTGTGGCATCTGTGTTGATGTTATTAGGAATTATAGTAATTTCTGCACAAATTAAAACAATCAGATCTGACCAAACCATGCCCAGACCAGTTGTCTGCTGCATTTCCAAGCCTAGCCATAAACAAGTGTTTCATGAACCGTTTGAAGAGAGTCAAATGTGAGTTCCTGTATTACAATAGTCTCACAAGAGTAGTGTAAGTTAACAGGGTAAACATTACAGGTCCTCAGTCATTAAATTGTAGATGTCAAGGTGAAATGTGTCGCTGATGAAAGCAGAACCCTATTCTTCCATGGAAGGAAAGAAAAGTGGATAGAAAGTTCCCCTCTTTTTTTTTTTCTTATTTTGTTTTGTAACTTTGAGTCTTAATTAGAGTGAAGCTAAGCAGTGCCACTGTTCTAGTGGTGCATCTCCTCCGTGTGATGTTCTCTGGTGTCCCAATTACACTGCATGTTTTTAATCAAAGTGGTGTAGCTTCTTCCTTGAAAGTGGCATAAAATAAATAACACTTTTAATTGTGTAGAAATATACACAGTATCATGGTAGTATGAATAATTTTTGCAATACACTTAATAATTACATGAATATGCTAATGAACTTATGCATTTTAGGCACCTCCAAAAGCTGTACCAAAGACTATTGAAAACCAGCGAGTGTATGATGAAACCACTGTAGATCCCAATGATGAAGAGGTAACTGCTCTAATTTCTACATGTGCTATTAAGTTAAGCAGTTTTTGGTAAGAAGGTACATAAACTGGATTGATGGAACTGAACATTCACCACTGTTCGGTTCATGTATTGATGAATCATTTTTTACATGCAATGGGCTCACTGAGAGGTGATGTCATTCTTTCATTATCTGTGTCAAAATTGCCTTTTGCATTACTGATGTTGATAGTAAAAGGTGCCCATGTTCATCACTTTAGATTCTTAAAAATATAAAAGCCTTGGGAAGATTAATTGCAGAACAGAACTTGTGAATTGAAATTTAGATCAGGTCGAACACTTGTTCTTCCATTATTTCGTACATGGTGGATTAACAAGACTTCGGTTCTTTCAGGTTGCTTTTGATGAGGCAACTGATGAATTTGCACCATACTTCAACAGACAGACAGTTCCCAAGATTCTCATTACAACATCAGACCGACCTCGTGGGGTATGTATGTTTTACTTGGAAAGTTCTGAGCAATCAACTGGTTATGAGATACCAAGGTGTTCATACTATGGTTGGTGTATTAAAGCTGAAAATAATTGCATTCACGTGAACTTTTTTGTGTTGTTGTATTCAGTCGCGTATCATGTTTCCTGAAGAAATAGTTATATTGTGTTTTGAAATGCTGTGAACTTCTTGTAAACCAGTGTCCTTAATAAATAATGAGTTTGGAGGTTATGCTTTTAGAATTTTCCTTTTCTGTGATTGAGGGAAGAGGAAAAAAAAGTCCTTGAAAGCAAAAGTCCCTGGTGTGCTGCAATCTTTGCTACAAATAAGTGGTTTTCCACTAACTGAAGGAAGTAATTTAATGGCTTATCTTCAAGTGTTTATAGAGATACTGAAAGTAATATATTAGGGAAGGTAGTTGGAATGAGCAACCCTCCATTCCTCCGATAATTGAATTTGGTACTGAATTTACGACACTGTAATTTAACTCACCTGTTTTGCAGAGAACAGTGAGATTCTGTGAACAACTGGCCACTGTTATACCTAACTCACATGTTTACTACCGAAGAGGACTGGCTTTGAAAAGAATTATTCCTCAGTGTATTGCAAGGGACTTCACGGATTTAATTGTCATTAATGAAGATCGCAAAATACCAAGTATCCTTTTGTGTATTTATTAGGGA